ATATTTGCAAGTCGAGGACGACCTTCACTATCGAACTTATTATTTGCAGACGACCTGATTTTGTTCGCAGAAGCTTCCACTCAACAGGCTGCTGTATTAAGGACTGCTTGGACAGATTTGGCAAAGCCTCGGGTCAGCGTGTTAGTCTATCAAAATCCCGAGTATATTATTCCAGGAACGTCCCTCTGACAGAGCAAGATAACATTAATCAGGCTCTAGGCATGGATAGTACGGAGGATTTGGGTCTCTACTTGGGTATGCCAACTCTAACGAGTCGTGTTACAAGGGAAACTTTTGCTCACTTGTGTAAGAAAATTGACAGGAGACTCTCAGGGTGGAAAACCAAATTCCTCTCGATGGCAGGCCGCATTACTTTGGCTAAATCAACCATCTCAACAATAGCCAATTATTATATGAAAACAGCAAAACTCCCTAGAACAATATGTGACGATATTGATAAACGTACTAGAAGATTCATTTGGGGAGGATCGGAAGAGAAAAGGCGAATTCATCTTCTGTCATGGGACACGTTGCAACTACCAAGGGAAAAAGGAGGTATCGGTATGAGATCAACTAGACAGTCCAATTTAGCTTTCCTCACTAAGCTCGGTTGGAGAGTCCTAACAGAACCTAAATCACTATGGTCTAGAGTTCTGCGACACAAATATTGCCATGGAAGATGCGACTTGGATATGTTTGCTCCTACATCTTCAAATGTATGGCGAGGGATTTCTGACAATGCTGAATGGATTAAAAAGGGATCGAAGGTGGCTGTAGGGAATGGAAAATCGACACTTTTTTGGGATCACTGTTGGGCTTCGAATGATCCTTTGAGAGATGCGGCTATTGCCATCATACCTCCTGCTATTGATGGTGCGTTGGTGGAGGATATGTGGGATCCTGTTCTAGGATGGAAATGGGATGTGTTTGCTCATATTCTTCCCAATGAATGCTTACAATTAATATCATCCCATAAACTGATTGAGAATACTGAAGTAGGGGATCTTATTTTCTGAAAAGGATCAACGACTGGTAAATTCTCAATTAAATATGCTATGCACATTATGAAGGAGCATGATACAGTAGAAAAACATCCTCAATGGGATCTGGTCTGGAAGGCCCCTGTGCAACAGAGGATCCGTAGCTTCCTCTGGCTTTGCCTTCATCAGCGAATTTTGTACAATGCAAATAGAGTCAAAAGACAGATAGCAGACGATCCAAGGTGTACCCAATGCTCTGCCAATGAGGATGAAACAGTTATTCATTTGCTTAGAGACTGTCATTCAGCTCGACAAATCTGGTTAAGTGTAGGCAATTCTGCTCTCAATCCTACTTTTTTCTCTAGAAATTTGAGTGAATGGTTTATTCGCAACTTGGAAGCAAGTGAATCCGATCCTTCGGATAAGTGGCCTACTTGCTTTGCAACCACTCTTTGGTGGATTTGGAGGTGGAGAAACTCCAAAGCTTTTGGAAGCATGGATGAAATCCCACTTAATACGGGTTCCTTCCTTAAATCTAAAACGGAGGAAACCTGGATTGCTCTTGGTGCTGATCTTATTCGAGAAAATATCCTAGGAAAAAAGGATAGACATGAGATTTTTTTAAATGGAAGGCTCCTCCTACCAATTGGGCTGCCCTTAACACTGATGGTGCAGCAAAGGGAGCTCCAGGACAAGCTGGAGGAGGAGGGATTTTACGTGATACCAAAGGTATGTTCATGCATGGATTCTCAACTAAATTTGGGGTATGCAATTCGTATAGAGCTGAGATCTTAGCACTCGAAATTTTACGTGATACCAAAGGTATGGCTGTAGACCAAGGCATATGGAGGCTAGTGATTCAAATGGACAACCAGGCTTACATCGAAGCTCTCACAAATGCACATCTCAAGGAGGCGAGTGTTATCACATCTTGAACAATTGTAGAAATCTCTTTTAAGTCTTTTCATAGTATTGTAGTTAATCATTGTTTTAGGGAGGGCAATAAAGTAGCCGATCGTCTGGCTAATCTAGGAGTAGTCCTCGAAGAAAAGGTAATTTATTTTGATGCTCCTCCAATCGAAATAAAAAATCTTCTCTGGGAGGATATAGTTGGGGTTACCTCTCCCCGGTTTGTTAGTTAATTTTAGTTCTTTTTGTATTCGGGTTTTCCCTCTTTTGCAACAAAAAAAAATAATTATCTTATTAAGCATGATTACAAGTACGAATTCCCTTTAAACATGCATAAAAGGTGTGATTAAGCAATAACAATAAATATAAATATCAAACAACAAAATAATAATCATCAAAATAATAATCATAATCAAAATCGTAATCATAATTATCATAATCATGTTAAAACATAATATCAATAGCAAGATCCTAGGCATGATACTAACAAGATTAATAACAAACCCTCGCATGTCACTAAACATCAAAGATCAAATATATAGCCCTAACATGATACTATTAGGAAAGAAAATAAAAGGCATCATAGAAATCATAATTGACATTATATTCTTTACCCTAAACATGATACTAGCAAGGAACTTATTGTTGTCATTCAAATCATCAAATTAAGAAAAGCATCCTAACATGATACTAGGAATCAAAATAACAATCTAGACATGATTTCTATATCATAATATCAATTAAACAATTAAAGCACTTACTTGGATGCCTCGTACCTCTTTCTAATAACAAAATACACACGTTAGTAACTTCAAGGAAAATAGAAAATCAAATAATTAGATTAAATAATTGAAAAAAAGATTTGGGACCAAACCCTCAGAAATATCAAACCTTTCACGTGTAGGGCGAAGGAAACTTCGAACTTGGCTAGGTGTGTCTAGATCTTGTGAATGCGGAATTTTGTATTTGACAAAAGACAAGTTTAAAAAAAAAAGAGTATATCAAGAATTTCTTGATGAGAGTTGGTGAGAATTGGAGGAGAATTGATGATAAAAAATGAAGGTTTTAAGAGGCTATTTATAAAGAAAATCAGCCAGATATGATTAAAAAAAATAATCAGAGTTTCGAAAAGAAATAAAACAAGATGCTGTCGCCAAAACACGCGCCTATCGCCAGACGACAGAGCTGTCCCCAGACGTGTCGCTGCGACGCCAGGCCTGCCGCCAGGCGATAGACTGTAGTTGCGACGCTGCAATCAGTTTTTCCACGCGCTTTCTTATTTTGATAAAATTTAAGCGTACGAGGGGGTAAAACTGTAATTTCCTTAAAACACTTCTTTTATTCTAAATAAAACTCTTAAAAGTCATTTATCAATGCTAATAAAATTAGGATTCAAAAGAACCTTCTAGAAGATTCTAGAAGACTATAATCAATCCTAATTGCATAAGGAATGATAAATCATAATAGGCCCTCCTCTAGATCATTGGGCCGCATATAAATATCATACCGAGCCCAGTTTAGTAATTTGGAAGCTCTTTTCAAGCCCAATCCAACTACACCATTATTGGACCCTTTCCATGGACCAAACTAACCTGGATTGGCTATTTTAATAAAAATAGGTTTTCAAAAACAGAGAAAAAGAAAGGAATTAAAAACTAACCGCAACATTAGACTTTCCACACTTTCACTTCATTCAATAATGATTCGACGTGAATGGTACCCATCACTGGGTTTGGTTTTGGGGAGACACATTTGGGTGTCTACACCATGCCTTGAACCTTGAGGTCACTACTCATGTTAATATGTCCGAAATCACCTCCTTGTTGTAATGTATCAAACACTACTTTTTCTCGGCACACATGGATAGATGCGGCCGAATCCAACACCCACTTGTCGGCTTGTCGCGACTGACATCCTCATTGACAACATGAGTCAATAACATCTCGACTTCATAATCATCAGATACAACATTAGTGGAATCACTCCCTTCACCCATCTTTATCTTGCCCAACTTTCGTTGCAGCTGCTTTAAGTTCTTTAAATCTTCTTTCAACTTTGGGAAATTATACTTCAAATGACCCTTCTCATGACAATAATAGCACTCCATATTGCTATAATCTCTCAACCGAGATATTATATTGATATGTTTCTTGGGCCATCACCTCTTGACTTGTTCCTCCCTCTTTCAGAACCCTCTACTGCTAATGCTTGACCTTCATGATAGGAAGCTCCATTTATCTATGACATCATCCTCTCATTTTCCCTCACCACTGTTGTTGCTCATCTAGTGTAATTTTCTCTCTTTCTACCAACAAAGTCTGCACAATGGGTCGGTAGGACTTCGGTAATGAAGCCAATAACAAAAGAGCTTGCTCTTGATCGGGAATATTCTCATCCACATTTTGCAACTGACACACAAGTTGATTAAAGTTGTTGATGCGGTCCTGTAAATTTGAGCCAATCTCCTTCTTCAATTGGTACAACTCCCACTGTAAGCACAATCAATTGGTTATTGACTTTTGAAGCATAAATACTTTTTAGATAGCTTATCCAACAACACCTTTCACTACTACAAAAAAGGCCTTAGAGAACTGTTAGAGTAGGCTTTATAGATCGCCTTATGGGCGATCTTCTACTAAGCGATGTATAGAGTATAGAGAATGGGTCGTTTAGGCGTTTTATATAATAACAAATAGAGAACGGTTGTTAGTCACAACCGTTCTCTTTTCCCTTCTTAAATCTGTACACTAAGGAAGGAATAAAGAACGGTTTAGGCCACTTAACCGTTCTATATTGCATTACAATAGAGAACGTTTAAGTTAGATAATAGTTCTTTAATGTTTTTTTTTAAAAGAATCCAACCATAATTATTCAAATTACCCTTGTACGTATTTTATATTGTATTATTCCTGTATTTTAATAATCTGTATTATTTTAGTATTTCATTTAGACTTGTATTTGTTGTATTCCTGTTTTGTATCTTGTACATTTATCCTGTAAGAAAAATTCCACATTTCCCATGTAAAATAAATCCATGATCCTGCATACGTGCAATATAAATTTTTAATTTGTATAATAAAATCAACAAAAATATCTCCATATATGACAAAAGCCATCAGAATATACTTTATATATATAATTTAAAACATCGAACCACAATTAAATTGAATCATTCATACAAAATTTGTACTATACAAACAAATACGTGAGTTAAATATCAAAACACCTTTCTAGTTAATGTTGATTAAAAAAAATTATGCTTAGATATACCAATACCATATTGATCTACAATTCACATAAATTGCCGTCGTTTTCGTCATTTTGTTGATGGTATCCGGTAACATACGAAATCCACCTTTTCTTAAGCTCGTCGATCATTTGTTGAGAATATGTAGGAAGAACTTGCTTAAAATACTACAAAACAATGTAAAATACATACATATTAGTTAATAATATACAATAAATTCATCTAATTAAATATAAATAAGCATATCCTTTTTTTTATCTAAGTTCATAAGAACATATACTATCCAAAAAGGCTGCTCATAATACACATAATAGCCATGTGCATAATAGTTTCTGTCAGTGCATGCCTCAGAATTTTTTAGCAATCTCACAATAGAGATACCAGTTTCATACCAAAAACATTGCTTCCTCCACTTGTGGGACTGAAGTTTGTCAAGCCAACTTTCAGCAAAAATGGATCAAATTTTGCCTTCAGTGGAACTTTAGAACTTCTTCTATCACCCCTTCTGCCATTTATATTGTTCTATTGTTTAACTGTCTAAGAGTTGTCTACTGTAAAAATAAATATGAACCGATATCAATCAATTAAACTACAAGAACATCATTGAGACAAGGAATAAGCTTACAAAAAAAACTTGAATCTCAATCCTCATATGCCATAAATAAATTAAAACAATACAGACATCAGATTCATGCTAACTATTTTCCACACCAGACATAGTCAAGGAAAGAACCACGGTTGTTGACTATTTATCAGATGACTTCACAGCAATGATAATTGATAATTGCTATCTTGCTGCACAACACACCAAGCTTTAGAAAAAAAAAAAGAAAAGGAAAAAAAAAGGAAAACAACACAGATGACTGCCTTAACCTACATCACCTCAAGAACCTTTTGAAGACATTATGTTTGAAAGTTGCAAATCTTTTCTATTGCTTGCAATTGTCTAATCTCCAACCTAGTTGCATACGAACCATCTATATTTTACTCATTTCAACATTAGACCCCTTAAACTACCTATAAAAGATCACCCATTTCAACATTAGTGCTTCCTTCTGTTTTGTACACATGCCTTAGACTGTTGTTTTAAAAACAATGGATTAAGCACATTTGCACAATGCAAGTCATTAATCTGTTCAACAGGCCTTACAACTCATTTTTGCCAGCTCATGAGCAACCCGATTGCCATCACGTTTCACAAAAGAAAAGGAACAAACACGACACCTAGCAGCTAAATTCAGGATATCATTCACTACCAAACCAAACTAAGTAGGCTGCACATCTCTTTTCTTCAAGGCATTGCACAGCTTCAAGCAGTCATTTTCTAAACACAGTCTGAAAAAAACCCGAGTCCAAGGCAATCCCCAAGGCAAAAATCACCCAGAATTCAAGGAAATTTGACCCAAAAATCGACCCAAAAACCCCAGAAAATCGATCCAAAACCCCAGAAATTATACCCAAAAACCCCCAGAAATCCGACAAAAAAAATTCCCACAAATTCAACAACCAAACTGCAATGTTGACAACACCCATAATCGGAAAAAATTCAGGTTTAAAAACCCCCCAATTTTGAGCACAACAACAAAAAAAAACCCTAATAAACCCCAGGAATTTGAGCATTAATTCGAGCAAATTCGATTATGGGAAAATTCGAGCAAATTCGAGCAAAAAATTGAGAAAATTCGAGCATTAATTCGAGCAATTTTGAGCAAAAAAATCGAATCAAAACCCTAGGAATTCGTTGAGTAAATTCGACAAAATTAAGGGTAATTTGATTGAACTTACTGCAATAATTCGGCTTAAATATTTACATACAAACAATCGATGAATTTATCCCAAAAACAAGAACTTTGAAGGTTTTTTCAATCACCTAAAATTTGAATGATTCATGCAATTAGATTGATAATTATCAGAATCCAATTACTCTACCACAAGAAAAATTCAAACCAAAAAAAAATCGAGCCTACCTAGATTTACTGGTGGCTCAGCAAACAGGTGCGGTATTGCAGACGTGGAGCGGCGGTGGAGTAAGCGGCTGATGAAGGATTTGCTATGGAGGTTTGATGAAGGTTTCACTTCTTTTTTTTTTTTTACTGATGAATGAGAAAGAGGTTTCACTTTTTGATGAAAGTGAAAGTGATAAGCGCTTCAATTTTCCCTTTTAGTATTTTGGGTAAAATAATTTTGACGGAAATTTCGGAATTTTTTTTTTTTGAAAACATGGGTAAATTATTATTGTGTATGTACGTATATAATTTTCTCCTAATTAAAAATAAAAATTAATTAATATAATACAAAACGGTTGTCAAGATGATCGTTCTATATCATCTATAATAAATAATTATTATTTTTAATTATTTGAGTAAATTGAAATACAGAACGGTTAACTATGTTAACCGTACTATATGTATTAACATACAGAACGGCTCGTATATTAAAACGATCTATATTCTTCTGGAGAACGCCTACCTTTAATAACCGTTCTATATTTTGCGATCTCTAATCTAGTTTTTGGTGTAGTGTTTGGATCCGTCTCCGTCAAGAAATTATACTTGATCTCCGTAGCTATAGCCAACCGAATTGTAATAACTGCTTTCTTTCTCTTGGTTGCCCATGCGGCCTCATTAAAGTTTGATGGCTTTTCATCTTCCAATGTTATATTCAAATTTTGTTGTACGAACATATCTTCTACATTACTCTTCCACACCGTAAAATTCATTTTCCCATCTAATAGTGGGATCTCAAATTTTGATGTACTTTTGGCCATCGTAATTTCATAAGATCTTCCCCTACAAGTTACTCTTCCCTTCAAACAGATCTTCTTACCGTCGGCTCTGATACCAGATGTTGGAAATCGAGTAAATAATAAAAATAATATCGGCGGGAAAAAAATAAAGTACGAAAAATAAAGAATAATAAGACAAAATATTTTTACATGGAAAACCCTCTTAAACTAGGAGAAAACCACGATCCTGATCTCAAAGGACGGAACATCACTATAATATTTTTGGGAGTACAAAGGATACCACTACAACTACAATATTAGACAATATGTGTTTAGGACAAAGTACTACTTAGTACCCTTCACAATGGTACTTTCACTTAATAATCCTACACACCCTCCTACTAATGTTGTATTTGCCTCACACAAATTCACTCCCTCTCACATTTGTATTTGTGTATTCTTCAACACTAATACACTCACACTACTCCTCCTTTTCACTCCATGTATTTCACCTCTTCTTCTTGCACCCAACTCTCAACTACATGCCTCTTTAAATAGGCAAAAAAGGTCTTGCGGCTCCTCAAGGTTCTCAACACAATTAAGAATAAATGCACAACAACCAAAGTCTACTACCTATCCTAGCATCTAGGAAATTAAATTTTGACTAACTACTTCACCTTGGTGGCCAAGGATACTTCCACCACCACTTCTTTCTTTTTTTCTTTATACATACATACATACATACATACATACATACATACATACATACATACATACATACATACATACATACATACATACATACATACATACATACATACATACATACATATACATATATATATACATACATATACATATACATACATACATACATACACACACACACACACACACACACACACATATATAGGGCATCCACAAATATTTCATAACACTCACCCTTGGATGTCCATTATCGATGACTATGTCTCATTAAAAACTTACTATGAAAAACCCTGTGGGATAAAACATAGTGAAGGCAAAAGAGTACATCATTCTACGTAATACGCTTGCAATGCTGCCTTATTATTAAAAACCATACCATGAAAATCCAATGTGAAACAAAACCATGGTCAATGGAAAAAAAAGTGCAACGCGTATTTTCTCCCCCTGATGAGTACGTACATAATGTGAAATCTTCAAGTGCAATAATAAACCTGACACGATATGGTTGAATAACTTCTCCCATGTAGCAGAACACCATTTATTGATAACTGATCCTTTGAAATAGAACTTGAATCTTCAAATCTTCACATGAACTTATTTAGACGACTACATTTCTTCATACTTGTGGAAATAATTCAAGTGTTTGTCAGTATTTCATTCGATATTTTCGTTTTGAATTATCATAATAATTAAACATATGCCTTCTTCTGGAGGTTATATATATTACTACAAAATGATGATCAATAATTGATCACATTATCCAAACATAATTTCATGGCAATACTTGATATCATCATATTTTATTTTCCAATGTCATGTAAATTAAGGAACTAATTACATATTTTGCTCATGACTCTTCTAGACCATAAGAATATTGCTCTCTCTCAATGATATCACAATGTTATTATTTATTTAGACTTTCATGTTTTATATGAGAGTTCACCAATGAATTCAAAGGTTGGTTGAGTCTCACATACTCAAACTTCAAGTTGAGATATTAATGATGTAGTCACATTGACTTTTCAGGAGATAATAATTGCAATATTCAAGATACAAAATTTTTAGGGTTAGGTATTAAAATACGTCGTATATAAGTCTTTCAGGAATTGTTCTTACATGATTCATAACATGCTATTATATCGACGTCATTAATATTTTCATCACAACTGTAATCCCGTTAGAATATAAACATTTCTTTGTAAGTTCCCAAAAATGTTGTAATCACACCTTACTATAACTTAGATGATCATTCACACATACCACTGTAGACACCTAAAAATGTCTCCCCAAAACCAAACCCGATAATGAACAACCTTTCACCGCCATTATTGGTCGGGTTGAGTATTTAATCTTGGAGTGCTTAAATCCATATCTCCATTTCATAAACCAACCCAATTCCTAGCCCATTTCCCCAAACCATAACTTATTTTCCTCTTTTCGTGCCTTTAAACCCAAAATAATTCATTTCGTGTCCTTTAAAATCATTCATTTCGTGTCCTTTTTATAAAAACGTTTGATCCAATTTATTTTGGTTCATAATATGGGTAAAATGATTAAATAGTTTTATGGGGCTTTAAAAGAGATTTCCAACGATATATTATAAGCCCAAATCCGATTTATAACGAATAAGTTATGGCCAAAATATTAAACCGAGCCCAAACCGAACCTAAGCCCACCTTACCTACGACCCAATGATCATGTGGAGGGTCCAAATGATTTAATCCCAATCCTAAACCAATTAGGATTAATTAGAAGCTTCTATAAGTTTCTAAAAGATCTTAATTATCCTTTTTGAAAAGATAAGATTAAATAGTTTGAAATTGAATAAAACTCCTTTTTTTTAAAATCCTATTTATATCTGAATTGAAAGACATTCAAAGATAGACATATATTATTTTCGTGTCTTATATTTTTTATCCAAATTTTATATGTTTGGATATCCCTTGAAATTATCTTTCCAATGATATATATTATAATATCAATTCCGAGCTATAACGGAAAAGATATGAATAAAATGTCAAACTCAATCCAAAACTGACACCGTCTCACTATTTTGGCCATATCTTTTATTCTATAAAATATTTTAATCTGATTCTAATTGGGTTATAAATTAGACTTCAAGAGCTTTCCAACTATATCTTATTCATCTTATTCTGATTTCTGGATCAAAAGATATGATAAAAACAAAGACCGCAAAAAGTGTTGTCTATCGCAAGAGTTTTAATCCGATTCGAACTCGATCTTTTCTTGATTTTGATTCTTCAACCCTCTTTTTTCCCTATAAATAGAGGTCATATCACCCCTTTTTCAATAATCAACATGCTTGATCATCAAATCATTCTCTTCTCCCTCTCTAGCCTAAACACTAGCCTCCCCATTCTTTCACTACTCCTTCCTTTAAGTACTCCAAGGAGTCCATACAATACCCAAAGTTCTATACTTAAACCAAAGCGTGAAAGGTAGAATTGACTGAGGGTTTGGACTAAACCAACTCTACTTTTTATTTAATTTAATTTTCATTTGCTTTATATTTTTTTATTGAAGTTACTAACAGTTTATTCATGATGTAGCAATTTAAAGGAACGTGCTGAATGTAAGTAATTAATTAAATTAATTACTCTTATTTTATTTTATATTGCTAGTATCATGATTAGGTTATTTTATATTTGATTTGACTAACACTATTATTGTTAAATTGCTTCCAATATTGATGTTATTTTATTATATTTATTGATCACCATATTGCATGTTTAAAGGGGATATGTAATTGAAAATCACGCCTAATAAGATAATTTGGACAACCGGCTTAGGATCCTTTTTAATCTTGTTATTAAATCAAGTGATCACAAATATTTTAGAATAATGTGTTTCATTAATATTAAACCAATTTAGCCTAATAATAGTTTGGAGCAAATTAAATATTTTGTTTGTATGCCTTTGAGATCGCAGGAATCATTTCTCACTATAAGAATCGAGTAGAGGCCAATACGGGTGAATGTGACTCCATGACTCACTTCGTACCATAATCCCCAATCCTCCTTTCGTGATTCCGAACCATATGGAGTTGGTAATCTCATGGATTATGAATGGGGTGTAACCTTCACGGGTCAATCGTTGTTGCCTTCATTGTCCCTTTATTCGTGGTTGCCTTTTATGATCCGTGAACGGTTTACAAGTTCCTTAAAAACTTGTTGGCGGCTCCCTACTTTCCTTGTCCCTAATCGTTATGTCAATTCCCACTTCCTATGAGTGCCAAGCATATTCACACATGCTTTTAACATAGGCGCACTTCAAACGACTCCTACAATTTGGCGACTCCACTGCGCAGGATTCTTGGTTAATTATCGATTTGAGTGATCGATATTTAATTAAGATGAGTGGATGATACTTGAAAGATTCTTGAAAAATATTCCTGTGATTAATTTGGCATTTTTGCATATGCATTTTAGATTACCTATTTTACCACAATAGTACGTGTTCTACGTATGTGGCTAGCCCGGGGGATTTAAGCTCTATCAACCCAAAAATGCTCATGGCAATAAGGGTTCATCCGAGTTTTTAAATCCACCCAAACCATGGAGTCGAGTTCGATTTATCACGAACTCGCGGAGCCGCCCGTTGGCATACACCCTCAAGGGAGGCTGCCTTGCTAACGCGTCCAAACTCTTAACCATGGTAGCCGTTGACACCCAAAAGCTTGACCATAGTCGAACATAGAACTTGACTTTAGGTTGCGAACTTAATTGCATCATTCGTGACGATGTGCTTATATGTGCATTTTTTTATTGATTTTTTTAATTATTTTTTTTGTTAAACCCTTTTTATTTTTATTTTTTTTTTAGAGTCGAGTCATAGATTTTTTTTTAATTTTTGAGTCACTCGGATTTTTATTCCCGTATACTGCACAAGAG